CGCACACCTACATTTCGACTGACAGTATGTGTGTGCCGGCAGATTCCTCCAGGACATTGGTTGTTTGGCTCCATTGGAACTTTCTCGATGACGCTGCGCTTGCAGTAATCTCATTCGACTCCGTTGAAAATGCAATTAGCTCTCGTCTTTCATATGACAGACACAATTGCAGCAGCACATCAGCATTGCACCCAATTCACACTAACGGGTCAAGAAAAATCTCCAGTTTATCCCATTAAGCTGTATACATAGACCAAAATTCACACAAGCGCCCATAACCAGGTGGTTTTTCTTGACTCGTCAACTTGAAATGGTTATAAGAATGTTAGCTTGCTGTGATGATGCCCATCATAAAACAGACTCAAGGTTTTCGCCGAGATTAAAGGAGATTACCTTGGTGATAGAAAATCCAAACAAAACCAAACTATAGTTGATCAAAATAAATCAGCAGTCATCTTCTTTTGAGCTTGATTATTGAATCTTTTAATCGCATACTTTTATTCGAAATGAAAATGAGCTCAGAACTTGTGAATCTTTGTACATGTTGGAGTACTTTGGCGACGATATGGTTGGGTAGCAGGTTAGGGTATCACCGATTGACATAAGCTATCTTATGGGTATCGAACAGGGACTGGGACTAACTATGCGTGCTTAGCCATGCTGTTAGTTGCCAGTAGATGTGGTTGCTGAGCCGGATGATAGGGGTCATCTTAACAGGAACAAGACTGAATAGGCAAAAGAAAATGCTCTGTGCCCGCTCAAAGTGCGATAATACTCATTGTTTTAGTCGAAACCGGTTTATTCATGTTGACCAAGTTGTTGAAAAGCCTACCCTGTCTGGCATCCTCTGCCATAGTAGTCATAGTAAATTCTAGCAGTGAAGTCGGCACATTCCCATGGACTCATCAAGTCCACGGTCTGAAGCCGGGAATTATCATTAACACTATTTCAGGCTTCTTCGATACCGAAATTTAAGGCCAAGCATGTTTCGAAAATTGAATCAGCTAAATTCTAGACGGCGAAAGTGGGTTTGGAGAAGACTTCATACCTCAATGACTTTGTTGCACACTCGGTATTCGGCCGAAGCAACAAGAGCGCGAATCTCCATGAGGCGGAAACGACTCAAGACCAAAGGGCAGAGAAGTAGGACGAGTTTCCAACACAGCTTCGGGCAGGTGACTAAGAGCCCAGCCTCTCTTGACTCGTCAACACTCGCAGCACATGGCCACTCTGCTCAATGGCCCCAGTTGGTAACTTTGACTGGGGAACAAAGAGGGCCGGATGGCAGTGCTGCCTCGATCTTAGCAACTAGCAGGGAGCTGCATATTGGCATGCCCTCAAGAAAGATGGCATCAAAAAAAACTGATGTGCAATGAAGTAAATGGGTAGCAAAGGCAAAAGGTAGCCTACATCAAGGCTACCTGGCTATGCTCTATTTTAAAACTCTCTTAATATGCTGTATTAAAATGATATATTTTTTGTTCCCTCTCTCTTCTCAGCTATTTGGCTAAATTAGTGGCTCATTCCTCCTCGTAGTCTTGCTTTATTCCCTTTTAAGACAGCCATCCATATTGCTCTTCCAGCTTTCTGTGTGTCTTTCAATCAATTTCAGAGAGTTGGGAAAATTGACTGAGGCAAAACGAATTCCTTTTCGATGCGCAATAGCCGACTTCTACCAAAATTAGCTGTGATTTTTCTCCCCATTAAATAGCTTGCTTCTTCATTTCTCTTACCCCCTTAACAACTTCTCTCCGACTCACCCGCAACCCCATCTCATGTTCTATCCTCCTGCCTTCAAAACTTATCTCCCATTCACTCATTCAGGCAGCTGAGGTTCGGAGCTTTGAAATTGGACTCGTGGGTTTAACGCTCGACAAAAATGACTGCCCGAGATGAAATCACGAATCAAATTGCTAAGACGTAATTATTTCTATCCAGGTAAATGTAATGCCAAAGACAAGATTGGACAGTAAACTATATGGTTAAAATATTGTTACAAAAATAAGGATTAGATTTTCAAAGCATCAGTAGAACATTTTGATAAGAAATGGAGTCCGCTTCGATTGCCTACGATGAAATAGGGCCTAATAAATAAGGTTGTCATAGGCTACCATTGAATTTCACTCAGTACTGTCCCACAAAAGGCAACACGACTCGGTTTCGGATAACATTGAGAGTTTTGACGAAATTTCAAAGTAGGAATTATTTGGCTGGCAAGGCTAAGTGAAATTCAATTGTGTCCCGGATCGTCCATTTATTCTTGTGTATGAAGCAGAACTATCCGGCTCTCGTTCATTTAATTTCACCTATGCTAACCGTAGTCTGTATAAAATATTGCTCTTCTCGACTAAGAATAAATATTTACTCTGAAACGCGCCAATTGTTAAAGTTAGTAACAATGCTGCAAGGACCTATGGATTTTCACATTGGGTGAAGTACATTTTTGCTTTTTTTGTACAAGACTTCTTATTCAGATACATTTAAACTTTCCCATAGATGAAGGATCCAGCAGGACCCAGGAAAATCACTGGTAGAAATCAGAACTAGAAATAGCAATTCGCCTGATGTGGGTCCTCATGACCGGTCCATACTCTAACGCAGAAATTCATATAGCATTAATGTGCATTTTCATAATTAAACAATGTCACGAAGTCCTCACAAGCTTCTGAACATACACATAAACCGCGCAGCCCGAAAAGAGACAAGTTAATCCATATAAAGTCGCGAGAACTGTTAAGCCAAGGTAATTATTTCTCGGCTTAGTTTTGCGTGGCAAACCTGATCATGGAATTCGGTCTTTTGTCTATACATGCGTATGTATAAAGCGACAATCCCATTCATATGAACAGATAAGTGGATAGATAAAAACAAAATTAAGGTTCATATATACACTTATACGTAAGTGAGCATTTGGAAACGTGAATGATCAATATAATTCAACAAAATTAAAATAGAATTTGTTTGACCTTGTTCTCACATCTTAGTCATATTGACAGGAAGACCTTGAGAAACACACCTAGTCCGGAGTCCATAGTATGCATGATCATTTTCAGAGTCGAACCGTGAACTTCAATACAATAAAATGAGACCGCGACCATACAAAAGGCCACACAATCCTGGTCTTCATACCTTCGATTCAACAAAATTAAGCCTGTCTGTAGAGCAGAATAGACTATGAATGAATCGGGAGCCATACTTTCCAGGGAGGATAGGGTGGGATATTCCAAGCCTTTTGAAAGACAAGGCTATATGAATTGGGCAGATTGACTTGGATTTTCTCAACAACGGATATATTATTTTTTTAAACATATTCCATGGTGACAATTATGGAGGAAAATAGCGATGGAAGAAGATGCACGAAAATAGATATGCCCAACTGCCTGCAAACTAACTGAGCAATTACGATCAAAATTAAGAAAATTAACTATTCAGGGGATCACGGAAGAGGGGGCAATACTCTTTACATGCTTTATGGGCAGCATGAAATCGGAAAATAGGGTAAGTAGATATAACAGGACACCATAGACATACCACATTCGTTGGGGCGAAATTTGATCAAGAGATGAACTTTACTAGTCTCTTAGCCGAATTAGGAGTTGGCGCTGAAACTGACAGAGTTCACTGACGATGACAACGATGATTTCAGTGAAAGTCTGAGAATGTAACAAGTCCATCGTCCGATGCTTACACTTGTCATGACTACTTGGGCACAGAACCCCAGACTATGTGAGTTCATCGAGGCCTTTCCAACAGCCCAACTATGTTGCTTAAGATAGGGCAAACCCTCTAGAAACCTTATAAAGCCTAGTTTCTGCAAAGAAACCCACCTACCGTAACAAACTTACTTTATCCAACTCCCAGAGATGAGTTGGGAAGAGTATCTGGTTAAGTTGGCGGTCCAAATTGTAATAAGGAAAAAGCAGTGTTATAAATTGATTGCTGGCCGACGCAAATAGACAGGTTTCGTCACGGATCGACGTCTGAAATTGATGCTGCAGCGTTTTTGGTAGATTTCACAACGTAACGGTAGGCTGTACTTGTCAAGACGGATTAAGAATGCAATCTGCTTTGGTGCTCCAGTATGCATAGCTTACTGCGCAAATATTTCGCTACACAGCTTGATGGCAAATAATCAGACTCCCTAACTATCCTACATCTACTGATATTCGGTGGGAGTAGGTTGTGAAGCTTTCATTAATTCCTGAATAAAAAATGTAATATGAGATGTATTCACCCAATTTCGTTTAAAGTGATGAAGGACTGGTAGAAGAAGAATTTTCCCTTAATGATATGAGTTGAGCTGACGTTTCCGTTGAATTTCACATTGCCTTGC